GTAATCAACCCAATCAAAATTTAAGTGAAGTTGCTGTAGCCCATTTCAAGCGCAGTAAAATACGCTCAGTCCATTTTACCTGCACTTGACATTGGTATGTTGTATTTTATATTAGTTCTGATTTCTTCTGGAGGGATTGCCACCGTATCATAAAAACTTAATACGCGATCAATTACTTTTTAAATGAGTTAATCCTTCTCGAGGCTCGTCTACTGTCGCAGTCGTACAACTTGTACTTGTACTTGTTGCAGATGATCTGCAACGTTGCTTGCAAGTTTGTTGGGCACCTTTAACTGTTCAGGTTATTCGAATAAATCTCTTGTCAAAATTTCCCTTTTCTTTTCGTTTTTATTTCTAGATAGTCGCTTGACAAATTTCAGCTTAGCGTTTCTCCAATTGTTGTAGCGTTTAGCCACGTCAAGTGAAAAATGTTGCCCGCAAATTTGCAAACCATTATGGCAGTGTGTGCGTCTGAGCCTTTGTATTCCATTACTTTAACAGATTAGCTTGTATCAAATAGTTTTGTTGTCGATGCCGAAAAGAATCTTCGTTAAATTAAGAAACGGAAAAAAGAAACAATTAATTCGAACACAAACTTTCAGCGGAAAATAATATTTTGAAAACAACATATATAATTAAACCACCGTTTGAGATATCTCGTGTGTAACATGTCGGTGTGTCCATATTCCTAACACGTAGAAATGTCTTGCAATAGCAAACATACTGCAAATAGCAGTTGTCATCCGCTGAATATATGATCTTGCATGATGGCAGACATCCTTCAAATTGCAATTGCCATCCGCTGAGTCAGTTGTATTTTTGCTGTTGTTGCTATGTTTTGGGGCAGGAGTTCGGCCATTTCTTTTTCGCAAAACGTGCCCAGTGAAATTTTCCGACAGTTTCTCTAGGTCTACCAACCTTGTCCTCAGGGACTGTCGGTTGCCGTCATTTTACTGGATTTCCCAGTGTGGTGAACACTAGCTGGTTATGAAGCGTTTGAGCCAATCAGAAAACGGAGATATACGATTTTGGAGGTAAAAAAGACTTATTGCAGAGAAGAGGCCATGGACCAGTCTGGGAAGCTCCAAGCTCCACCTTCTAGCAGCCCATTGATACGGAATGAACCCCTCTCCACAGGACATGACAAATGACCGACAAATGCCTGCCGTGATGGGCACGCCTTACAGCTCCCTGAAAATACGGTTAACTGTTATTTAGAATTTACGGGCTTGATCACATATTGATTTAAATCCTGTTTTAAATCTTGTCTGAAGCCATACTCTTTTGTCCTGACCATAACCAACGAATGTATCTTTACTTTCCCTTTTTTACAGGAACTGCTTAGTTAAGTTAGTGAAAACTTTTTATCTAACATTCTGAATTTTCTTTTAATTTCAAAATGTCCCCATGGTGATATTAACAACTGAGTTTTTTTATATCTTGTTCAAAAGTATTTTCTCGGATAATTTTCGATATTCTCTTTAGAGCATCCAATAATCAAATTATAGCAGGAGCTCCTGATTATAGACAAAAAGAGTTGACTGAATTTGCCTTTTAGGTTTAAGTTTCGCACTAATGCTGGGCTATCTTAACCCAGCTTTGACAACCCAGCACTGATTAATGCAGCTTGGTTAAGTCACCTCGTGCATCTCGTACAAGAGGCCTTGGGATGCATTGTGAATGAGGTTTACCGACTGGGCTATGCAGCGGCAGTCAGTGGCAGACGCAGTAGAAAATGTACTCACAACGCTTTGACACAATACCCTAAACTTCCGCTTGTAAGTCCTCCCCACGTACAAGCGCCCCTCCCCCCACGGTTAAAGGACCATCTACCTGTAAACAAAAAATACATCCGGTCATAAGCCTCCCTTCCCCCTCCCTCTCCCCCTGTTTATAAGCCCTCCTAAAACCCTTCACGAAGTTTACGGTTTAGGTTAATACTGATAAATACAATTAAGAGACAAAAAGAAACAGAGCCAGGTATCAATATATTTTATTACATTATATCTGGAGCTCCTGATTTTATTAATTATATTCTATTTCTAACTAGCAATAAATAAATTTGTAAATACATTATAATAATAATGATAATAATAGTATTTTTATCTATTTATTGAATCAAATTACAGTAATTCTAAGTGTCAACTTTCTTAATATATTTTTCATTACATAAACAGTGGATTCATTTAATTATCTCAGAGCTGAAAATTAAAAGTGGCTAGATCAAAATAAAAACTTGTTGCTGGGGCGGACCTACATGAGACGCCATTCATAACGATAATGGGCCCTGCAACGGGATGTCCAAAAACCCAATGATGTATATATTACACCAATGGAATAAATTAAATGCTCTGTATATATAGCACTGAAACGACTTTTTTGATAGTTGTCTTTTATTAGCTATAATTGAAAGTATGGGAAAAGAATACGTCATATAAACTGTTTCCTTTCCCTCAAAAAATTTGCTTCAAGTCTGCTCTAGCTTAATGTTGCAGGAGTCGTTCACGTAAAGGTTGTCGTTCATCGAATGATTTTGAGTCTTAGGAATTCCCGTGACAGTGCCCCAGGCATTATTAAACCCATTGGCCGTATGTCAGTTTCACCAAAACTGCCAAAAGCTTGCTTGATAAACTTTTACCCCCAGGTATACAGTATTTTTTTACAGCTATAAAAAATCGTATAAAGATAAACTTGAGTTCTGGTAGTTGTACTCGACTTAGCTATCGAGTATAATTTTTTAAAAAGAAAAAGGAGACAAATTTTGGGTGGATTCATTTGCAGCATACGCGTANCAGGCATTATTAAACCCATTGGCCGTATGTCAGTTTCACCAAAACTGCCAAAAGCTTGCTTGATAAACTTTTACCCCCAGGTATACAGTATTTTTTTACAGCTATAAAAAATCGTATAAAGATAAACTTGAGTTCTGGTAGTTGTACTCGACTTAGCTATCGAGTATAATTTTTTAAAAAGAAAAAGGAGACAAATTTTGGGTGGATTCATTTGCAGCATACGCGTATAGCTCAGTGTAGTATTTGCCTGCTGAAATTTTTTGTTTTAAAGTTCAAAACAATAAAAAAATTCAGCAGACAAATACGACACTCTGCTATACGCGTATGCTGCAAATGAATCCACCCAAAGTATGAAGGCACGCGCTTGTAAAAGTTCGTAAATAGACCAGTGTTAACATACTCTAAGAGTTTATCGTCTTCTTTGTAATTTCTCATGCGTTTCTAGAAACTCAAAATTTGTTGCTAAGGAGGGACTCATTTACAGCATACGCGTATTTGCCCATTAAAATTTTTGGTGTTCTTAAGCACACAGCTTACAATGAAAAATTCCAGAGGGCAAATGCGACAGCAAATGAATCCACCCTTGGGAAACTTTGATACCAAATTATAATTTTAAAACGTATAAGGCTAAAAAGTCTTTAGCAGTCCAGCAGTTCAGGAAATATTGATTATGAGGTCATCGTTTATGATGTTTTTGAAGCGTAACTTCGGGCCTTATTAATATACTTTAAAACATTCAATCTCTTCATACGTTTCTACAGTTGAAGGCTTCTCGTCCTTTGTTACGTTCATAACACAGTTTCAGGTAACGGCTTTCTCTCTCTAATTCCCCTGATCTTCATCTCCCGGCAGAACATGGCAAACGTAGCTTTTCAGTCAAACAGTTTTCTTTTAAGCATGACGCAGAAAGAGTAGGAAGTATCGATTTCAAACAGCTTTTAAAGTTTTCTAGTCGTAATAATTGATTGTTTGTTTATATAAAGAGAGAGAAGTCAGTCTAGCATGGCAAACCAGGGATGCATAAGAGCTTCAGACATTGTTGGGCGATTTGTTGGTTCAACATTAAGAAGCGTAGATATCAGGTTCTTGACTTCTGTAAAGATACCAAAAAATTGCAGCATTTAGTGATTTACAGCTGTATTGTAGTCATGAACGTTTATCAAAAAGTCGGTAGATGTGATATTTTATTGTTATTTCACCAACTTTCATGCAGCGTTAGCCAAATTACAAAAAACACCGAATATTTATTGAGATAGTTTAAACAATAATATGTATTTATAAGGTAATGAAGAAAAAAAAAGGAAAAAAGGAAGGGGGATCGGGGGAAAAAGGTTAAGTAAAAAGGTGTTTCTTCAGTTTGTTTTTAAAAGTTCTCGTCCATAACGTCACATAATAGTAAAAAACCCGCTTTCATCGCAGGCTGTATTTCGACTCTGTCATGAAAACATAAGAGAATGCAAGGCGACAACGGCGCATGCCATATAGCCGAGTCTGAGCTGTGATCAATCTGGTCCAATCAACCTCGTCCCCAGAGCCCGCGTTACCCTCATCCAGCTCTGAAAGAATCCAAAACCGGAACCTCAAAATCCTGGTCCGGTCTAATTGTGCCTGCGTAAAGTTGTTCACCAATTTGACCAACAGAAGTTCTTGAGGGAATTTGGCCTTGCTCGCACATTGTTATAATTTACTCGTTTCAAAGCATTTTTGTTTTTCTTAGCGTGAACTCTGATCGATGTATTTAATACTGAAGAAAGAACTAGAAAGGACTGTTCAAGAAGACCGAAAAAAAACGTCGCGACTAAAACATTCGCTCGTCATCGCGACACACTCATCTATCATGTATGAATCTCAGAAAAAGTGGCATTAGAATGACTTTCAAAAATAAGGTAAATTTCTGAACAAAATGACATCGTAGCGTTGTTTCGTGTTCTATGGAGATAAACTTTTTCTTAACTGTTTCAAGTAGTATAAGATTGGTGTGTACGCAAATGACCCGTCATGTGCTCACAGTTTTTTGATTTGCAAAGTTGCAGTATTTTTATGTGACGAATACGTTTTTATCGGCCAATTACATATGGGTCTTTTCGGATTCTTCCAGAGGTTAGTGATCCTTAGTGCTGACCACAAGGATCACAGCCTCTGGGAACAAGATTGCTGAGTTACTAGCAGCCATTCCGTAATGAGCTCTCGACTCAACCAATCAGATGAGAGAGAGAAGCTTGTATTTTCCATTTCATACTGACCTGGGGAGAGATTTTCTGGGATTCTAGGTGCCGCTGTTAGAGCTTGCTCAGGTTTATCAAACGCCATGACTGGAGATAACATCTCAACCAACAAAATTCCCAGTTGCCACACTGTTCCTTGACATCCGTCATACTTCCCTGTACTAAAGTACTCGGGTGGTGTGTAAGCTTTGGTACCTAAAACAATCAGCAAATGAAAAAGTTTTTTCTCATTTTTATGCGTCGCTAAACGCTGGTTTCAGTTATGTTTCACCACATTAAGAATTATTATAATTAAAGCAACCATTAGGTAAAATTATTTCAGTATTCAGTATTCTGATAAACTAGCCTAAAGAGTGAAAAATAACAAAATATTCGCGCTGTTTTCTTGCTGGCTCAATTCGTATATTTTCCTCTCACTGTAAGCTTACACTCATAAGTCATGAGACAACGTGTTAAGCTAAAGTAAAATCGGCAACTAAAAACGTGCAATTTGTTTTGCAACATTGCTTCAAAACAAGTTAAATAGCGATGTAACGCGTTTTAACCGACCCACATTCGAGCCTGTCTTGCAACAAACTAAGGTTCCAAGTTTTTCCAAGTTTTTTTTTCGTGGGTGATGAAATGAGCAACATCGCCATTCAACTCGTTTTGCAGCCAAGTCACAAAACAAGTTGCACATTTTTTGTTGCCCGTTTTCCCGTACCTTTAGGTTGGAATGCATTTAAGAAAGCTTATTCATACCTCTAAATTTCAGGAAAGGTTCCTCTAGGACTTCAGAAGCCAACCCAAAATCAATGAGCTTAGCTTCGTCATGGAGCATATCAACCAGGATGTTTTCTGGTTTAAGATCTCTATGGAGGACGCCATTTTCCTCGCAGCAAATATTAGCCTTCAAGATCTGAGAGAAGTACCTTCTCGCTTCGTTCTCTGTCAGTGTCGCCCTGACCTGAAGGATGTCAAACAAGTCTTTGCAAATTTCTGGTCTTTCCATCACATAAACGTAGTGTTCGTTCGTTGTAAAAAGTTCGTACATCCTGATCACGTAACAGTGGCGTGTCTTGTTTTGAAGATAGGCCTCAGCTGGAACTGGTCTGCCATTAATCTGCATAGAGCACAGGAAATGGTTAGCTTTAGTTTCTTTAAACTGCTGGATTAGTTTTCTTAACGTGACCCTGTTTGAAGGAGAATTGTTGCAGAGTAAATTTAAGGTCTAGTTTTGTTACCGAAGGACTATATTTTGTTTGGATCTAACAAATGGCGCTCATCAGGACATAAAAAAATATTTGTAGTCGCTTGTTTTCAAGTGAAGGACACATTGTACTTCTCAGCCTTGTCTTTTGTATCAGATAACTTATTGTAAGTACAAGATGCGTAAAATCAAGTGTTTCTGAGACTACGGTTCGGTAATAGAAAATGCCAAGGGGTTTTCCCGTTCCTCTTCCAAATTTTCCAGTGTAGCCATTATCATGATATCTCGTTCCATTTAACTGCCCAAACTTGTGCAGTGTAAAACTCACCACTTTAAACTCGTGAACAGACTCCTTTGAAACGAACTTTATTGCGACCTGAAGGACAGGAAAAAAAGAAATTATCGTAAAACTTTCTTGTTATCAAAGATCATAAGACACCCAGACAGATAATATAATAATATGGATGATTAAGGCAACATAAGTTTGGGGAGCAAGAAGAACAGTTGGCACTGCAATGTGGACTGGCCCGGGCTCGAATCTGTTCTCTGCCCCTTTTCTCTGCTCTAAGACGTCAATTTTTCTCCGGGTACTCCGGTTACCCCGCCTCCTAAAAAACAACGTTTCTAAATTCCAAAACGCGTGCGCAAAAATTGTATAAAATTTACGGCAAGTCAGCATACTTTTGATTTCGCAAGGTTTGAGGTATTATATTTTGGATCAACCTTTTCGAAATTTTTTTCGTAGTTGGTAAGAGAACGAAGAGACACCAGCAACTTCTAATAGATTTGTGAAAATCCCTCATAATAATTATATTTCCGAATTTGATTGTTGAAACTGCAGTTGGTTGTCGACAGTAATATCTTGACCTCTTTTTAAGATTCTTATAGTATCTCTTTACTTGCGCCTGTATTCTCTGACAAAATCATTGTCAATTGCCAGTGAAGTGGCTAATTCAGCCTCGTAAAAAATGCAGGTGCATGAACTAGGCGGTAAGCAATTTCACAGGCGGGCTGATTTTTGGCCGACTTACACTAAGGAAAAAGGACCACGTATTTGAATTCCAGGATGAATAGGTGTTTACAACTGAAAGTTAAAACGGGTGCGGATTTATTTTCATACCGGTGCTCCATCTGTTTTTCGTGTAGCGGCGACAACGAGGCCAAAGGAGCCATAACCGATCAGATCTCCGATTACATATCTAGCAAAACGATCTGAAAGACAAAATTCAAAGGATTACTTCTCAGAATTTTTACTGACTTTACAGTGACGTTTTGGAGATCGAGCGTAACAATTGTGGCGTGTAATAATTCTAAATTCTGTTCGAAGATGGTGATAAAGAGTTACAGCAAGTTATTTAAGGGCCGGATATCGTATTTATTTCCTTAATTCTCCTTTTTTCGCTGATATTTTACTTACGGTCTGAGCTGATTTTCCTGATAAATTCTGAGTGATTAGTTTTTTCTCCTTCAGTGTGGAATGAACCTGAGCCACTTGAGGTGGAAGAATAGGTCCATGTTTCTTGTTCTGCTTTATTAAACCAGTTTTTCACCTAAATTAAATGGGAGAAAGTCATTACAATTCTGAAGTACAAAAATGAGAAAAATAATTCACTGGATAACGAACTAATGTTGCCTACCGTGATTATTGTTCGAATTCAAGATTGCTTTTTGGTGAAGTTTGCCCCGAAAACTCCCTCGAAATTCCCGCGAAATCGGCCGATTTTTCCGCGAATTTGTCCCTAAAAATCGCGCGAAATTTGACTTTTTCTTCCGCGACCTATCAGAAGCCCTGTCTCATAGAAGCCCCCCGTCCCGCTTTATAGTAATCACCACCATCGGTTAATGGCCAAAAACGAGTTAAATCTTCTTTTTCATAGAGAGACAAAGTTCAGCTTTTCACAAAACTCATACACCTATTAAACTTTAAGTCATTAACAGTTGTAGTGATTACAAGGAAAAGAATACTGTCTTTATATTCTCTTGTAGTTTTGTTACTGCTTATAGTTTCGCTCAGCTAGACAACAACGGGAAGTCAAAGGAATTGTTGGAGCTTGGAGCTGTCTGAATCTTCGTTCCACGGGTTCACTTCATACAACATGACAAGTTTTAAATAATAATAATAATAATAATAATAATAATAAAAAAACAGTAAAGTGGACAGTTTTGCTTGTGACAAAATATACTGGCACTTACTTTAGGGTCGAGGCAAAGTTTTTCTTTGGAAAAATCTTGCGTGTCGACCAAATCTTTTGCTGTCTCGCTCCAGGCCTTTCTTGGGCTTTGCCTGTAAGAAAACGACAGCAATTAGAATGTTGAAGAAAGTCAAGGAAAGTATTCGATGAAATATTGATTCTTAAGCGAAATTCGTTACCTGTTCTTTATCAGGCTTACATTGGGTCTTGTCTCGCTCAAACAGACCTGTGTAGAGAAACAATGAGAAACGACATGGGCTCAGAGATACAGAAAAACTGATTTTAAGAATATCATATTCATTACTTTCAAAAATAGCCTAACTGTAGCATTTAAATGAATTTTTCAAGGTATCCGACAAGTAAAAAAATACCAAGAGAGCGAAAGACATTTTCTTACAAACTTAAAACCGCTCCCATGCATGTACAGGAAAACTGAAGAAAATCTTTAAGTTTCAGACTAAAATAATGAGTGTTTCAGAAGTGTTTTGAAATTTTCCAGAATTCAGCAAACAGTGGTAATTCTTTAATTCGTTGATATAAAGACTTACTCGTTTGGTTGTCTTCGGTGTCTTAACATCCAGACACGGCGTGTCCTCACAATTGTGAGTCTTTGAGCTGGGAGTTTTCTCTTCAGCTAAGCGTGGTCGTTTTCGTTCAGTTTTACTGGACGATTGACGCTTTCTCTTTAAGCTTTGCTTATGCAAAACTTCGTTAGACATCACTGATAAATTCGCAAAATGAATCAATAACAGCGCCAACAATTTAAAGACTGAAATTCTCTCATGAAATTGCGGCAAAACAACTTGAGGGCAAATGATTGTTTCTATGGTTAACTTCANGTAGCATTTAAATGAATTTTTCAAGGTATCCGACAAGTAAAAAAATACCAAGAGAGCGAAAGACATTTTCTTACAAACTTAAAACCGCTCCCATGCATGTACAGGAAAACTGAAGAAAATCTTTAAGTTTCAGACTAAAACAATGAGTGTTTCAGAAGTGTTTTGAAATTTTCCAGATTTCAGCAAACAGTGGTAATTCTTTAATTCGTTGATATAAAGACTTACTCTTTTGGTTGTCTTCGGTGTCTTAACATCCAGACACGGCGTGTCCTCACAATTGTGAGTCTTTGAGCTGGGAGTTTTCTCTTCAGCTAAGCGTGGTCGTTTTCGTTCAGTTTTACTGGACGATTGACGCTTTCTCTTTAAGCTTTGCTTATGCAAAACTTCGTTAGACATCACTGATAAATTCGCAAAATGAATCAATAACAGCGCCAACAATTTAAAGACTGAAATTCTCTCATGAAATTGCGGCAAAACAACTTGAGGGCAAATGATTGTTTCTATGGTTAACTTCAAAAAACAAACCAGTCTGCCCTTTATGACGTTTTGCTCGCGCTTTAGAAGCCATAAAAGTGCGCGTGCAATTGAAACGTTTATGTCATCGAGGGTTTCCAGTTGTATCCATGGTTGTATGGAGTAAAACTAGAATATTTAAATATTTTAAGGCACCAATCAAAAATCGAGAAAAAAATCGCATTAACTGTTAAAATCCGACACACAAAAATTAGTATGCTATTTGAGTTGTCGACGTCCCCTTTCCGAACTTGGACAGGGCGTAGGTTCAACAGTGAGTGAGCAGGACAGTTTTTTCATGGTCACCTTTCGATTTTTTTTTACTGTACGATTGACACGATTTTTCAAGTTATTTTCCTGATTTAATAAAAGATAAAAAAAGTGCATGTTGAAATAGAAATGTCATTTTATCCGCCGCAATTTGAGTTTATATCAGTCTAGTTTAAAGAATACAATGAGCACTAAATTAATTGTCCAAGAAGTTAATTATAACTAGAGCGTTCGCCCCCTCAGAGTCTTTCTTTTATATCGTTTTTCACAAAGGTTTTTGACAGTAGGAATTATTTCGTGCCAACGTTTACTAGATGTGAGCTTAGAACTTCATTCTAACATCGATAACTGCCTTTTAAAAGAAATAAAAACAAACGAAACAATTCTTTATGGTTTTCGCCGGGATAAACCATCCTTCGTTCCTGGGAAGTATATTTAAGCTTGCATATAAAAATGACGAAAGTCTATATCGCCTCAAACAGTCAATAAATTTTAAATATAGGTAGATTTTAGGAAACCATGCGAGCGACTGAAATAGTAAGCCTATAATTTGATATAATGCTGAGTGACTGAAAGAACCACAACACAACCCGTTCATCTAGCCGTACTTCATGCAAGGTAAAAACAACAACAACAAAACACTAAAACAGACTGCTCATTACCTGAACTAGTGGTTAGAAACTCATTGTCCTCCGTTCCAATCGAGCACGTTGGTCATATATCCATTGTCTGTTTTTGTTGTTCTGTTTTTTTTTTCTGCCGTAACAGCATAAACAAATTGTCTTCTCTTCAATAAGTATTATGCCGTATAGAAAATAGTTGTACCAGTAGTTAAACGTTCTCAGAGCAGTACTTTGTTCTCAGTTTCTATGTTTTCTCCTATAGATGTTCATGATAAAGTATGAACTTTAGAGTTAACATTTCTCCGACAATGAAAGCCAAGGTCACACGGCCGATACCTACCTGATTCGCGCCTTTTTTCGGATCCGACTTAATGAGATTGGTGTCTCAACGATCATTTTGACATTATTTCATCCCTTCCTTTCATGTCCACTGCCTTTCCTTTTCATAGTATAAAAACCTGAAAAAGAGACCAAAACAGCTAGTGGAACTGCTGTAATATTCTAAGCAACCAAAACCCTTTCAACCAAGTTAGGCTTTCACATAAATCCGAAAAATGAAGGTAAGGACTGTGAGCTATTAACAAGATAAGAATCTTGTTATAGCTGACGTTCATTTATATTGTAAACAAAAGCTTCGCTCCTAACGATTCTACTGAAAAATGCGAGGGAGTTACATGCAGCTGCATGAGCTAGAACCACTTCTTAAAGTTGCCTATATATTTATCTATAAAATTTTCTTTCCCTGCCGACCAAAATTTCCCTAGAAAAATTTCAGACAAATATATCGAAAATCTAGAGCAAGCTAGTGTCTGGACAACATGTCTGGAGAAATTTAAGCGCAGCTACGTTCCCCCCAAAACTCATGTTAGTAAAGTCCTTTGCTGTGTAGCGTTGGCGGTTTACAAGTCATATTTTTTTTTCAGAACAGCCGTTTTACGGAAATTATTTGACATTTCACATTTTAGCGATCATATGGAACCACTCTCCACTCTTCGTTTCATACTAATTGGCAAATCAACAATGGCTTTTTAACACGCCGATCATTGGATTTGGCTCTTTTTACTATCACTGTTTTATAGAAGAAGTACAAAAATACGACTGGCTTTGACAACAAATTTACCACAGAATATAGAGACTGTAGCACAAGAAAAACAATTGCTGGGAATCAGTTTGGGAAAAATTCGACCCGAGTCCTTAGTCCTGATCAGACTGAGAAAAACTTTAGACACAAGAACAGCCTAAGTGAGAAAAAGAATCCGTGCCGTCCTGTCCCGTCTAGATCTGGTTCTGGAAGAGAGGCAGTGTTACATTGAGATGGGCATCCTCATTCCAAAAACCCTAGCGATATGAGCATCCTCTTCTCATACTGGATTACCTTAGCGGTTTGGGTTAGGGTTAGGGTTACAGGAGATGTCCATATCACTAGATATAGGGTTTTGGGGATGGGATGCCCAAAATGCGGGGATGCCCATGCATATCAATGTGACAGCGGTACCACTGTTGAATTTGAAGAATGGCGAACAATGGCGCGAACGATGTTCTCAGATCCAGGTCTCCGCGATACTTTCTCAGCGACCCCAACTTGGATCCCAACCATGCAACGAGAAGTTGGATTGCAACAATTATTGCAACAACGAACCCAACCTCGTCCTCAGGGTGCTCTTGTTTTTCAGTATGACGGTGATAAGGTTCCTCATATTGGCAAACTACAAGACCTTAAGGGACGAGGTTGATGGAAACCATCAATCGCGAAGATCACTGGAACCAAATTTTTCACTGATCGCAGCCATCGTAGCG